GTGTGGGGGAGGGGGTTGGGCTGGGTGACCCCCAGAGGTCCCTGCCAACCCCCAACATTCTGTGATTCTGTGGGACCCAAAGTCAGCTCCTTACCCAGGCTCGGGGGATGCCCGTCCCTCTCCCCTGCCGAGGAGCCTGTGGGGAGCGGTTCCCATCCAGAGATGGTTACTTAATGACTTTACCCTTATCTAATTAAAACCAGTGATTGTTAGTCCCTAATAATGCCTCGATACAGGCCGGTCACACAACTGCCGGTAACGATTTGCGATCGGGAAGCGGTGGCTGAGACGAAGGCTCAGGCACAAGCGTCCGTCCCTCACCCGAAGCCGAGCTTGGGAAGCCGCGTGCCGAACAGCCACACACGGGCACGGGGCGGGGGTCTCACATAAAAAGAGGCAAAGCAACAAAACGAAGCGAGGGATCAACCCAGCAAGGCAGCCTTCGGGTCTTCCCGCGGCAAGGGGAGGCACCACACAAGTAGCTCATCGGTTTTTTTTTTAATCCCGTGGAAGCTGGGAGTTGAGCAAACCTCTCCCGTGCCAGAGCTGGGAGAAAGGCCCGCATTGCGACACGCTCCCAGGCCATCTCCGCCTCCACCCGCTCCGTCTCACCTCGTGGAACGCCAGCGCGAGGGCGGGGTGAGCCCTCCAGCCAGCAGCGCCTGGCACCGCCACGCCGTAACGCACCGGAAAAGGCGAGGCGTGCCCGGCCCGCGGGGCATCCCCCTGCTTGTACTTACACGCTCTAAGCCCTCTTCGTGCAAGTTCTCGCTCTTCCTCTTGGCCTGAGTACGTTGGGAACGGGGTGGGAGGACGGAGGGATGCAGCGGGCAGGCTAATCCCCTCGTTGGCATGCAGCTCAACGCGCGTTTGAGCTTCCCTCCCGGGTCAGTCCGCTGCAGGGCTGCTGGCAGGAGCTTGGGGAAGCAGCCAGGCCGGTCTGGTGGCACGTCCAGGCTCCGCCAGCCTTGCCCCGCGACGCTCGCGCGGCATCGCAGCATCACAGGACCGCAGCGGACAGCCCTCTGGCAAAAAAGGTGACGTTCTTGTCCTGGATCTTATACTGGTAAACCTGGACGTGGTCCTGCTCCGCCGTCAGCTCCAAGGACACTCTCCTAATTATTTTAATCTGCAAAGGGAAAGGAAGATGAATCTCATCCCTTTGGCCGCCCCGGTCGCAGCATTCTCCCTCCTCTTCCCCCCCCACGCCTCTTGCTGGCCTGCAGGGATAAAAATCCATCACGCAGCAGCCAGTAACCGGTGCCTTTGGTGGCAGCCCCCGACGGGAGACCACGCCACAACCAGCCCCCAGGGCCCCAGCTGCCCTCCCAGCCCAGAACCCATCAACACAGCCCAGGCTGAGACCCACAGTTTGGGGCAGTTTCCCAGGAATGAGGTATTCTTCTTCGACCACCATCTTGGAGCAGGAGACAGCCTGCGTTGTACAAAACCCTTTCCAGCCTCCAGGAGTCACAGAATCCCAGCACGGCAGGGGTTGGCATGGCCCTCTGGGGGTCCCCCAGCCCAACCCCCTGCCCAAGCAGGGTCACCCACAGCAGGCTGCACAGCACCGCGGCCAGGCGGGGCTGGAATATCTCCAGAGAAGGAGACTCCCCAGC